CCCCGGGGAAGGATGCCCAGCAGGGCTTCTGCCTGCAAGAGGTTCAGGCAGGTTTCCGAGGCCTGCTAGAAGCTGCTGATGGAGGCAGAAAAGTCCTCCACACCCCTTGGTTGTTGGCTTCCCCCTCCCACTGCCCCCCATCTCTAGGCCATCACAGGTGTGGGTCTGGCTGCAGGAGGCAATGACCAGAGGGGTGGAGATACAGGGTGAAGAGATAGGACAGCCCTGCCAGCTACTCAGACCCAGAGCAGGACAGGGATGGCCCCGGGGACATCCTGGGTTCTGGATCTGCTCTGATTCTGGATGGGCTCCTGCATTCCCTGGGCCTCAATTTCCCCATCCGTACTAGGTTAAATATCCGTACTATGAAGGGTTAGTTGGGGTGGTCTGCAAGGGACTAGCCAGCCCCAGGCGAATTGGCTTGAGGCAGCACTGAGGGAGGAAGGGGGTGGTGCGGGGGGTGGGAGGGGAGGAGGAGGGGACTCCAAAGGCTGCCAGGCACATTACCACAGAAATATTAACTGCCCCGTCACTTCTCCCAGTCTGGCAAAGGCCATGTCCATAAATTAGGGCCATGAGTCTGCCAGACAGAGACTTAATGAAGAAGGAGATGGACTTCCGCGAGAGCAGGCAGTCCCTCTGGAGGTCACAAGTCCAGCCCCAGCCTGGACAGAAGGAGCCTGGAATCAGAGGGGGGTCTGGGGTGTCCATGGATACCCTGGCCTGGGCCAGGAAGTTAGGAGCCAGCCCTGCCATGTTCACTTGCTGAATCCCCAGCACCCAGCACACAGTAGGGGCTCAACCATATTCTGACTGATGACCAAATGGTGTGGCAAGTCATGGGAAGCTCAGACTGAAACCAGGTCCTCTGAACTCCAGCTGGGCCCTTACCAGTTCCCACACCGGACCTGAGCAGCGTGGGGAGGAAAGGGGCTGCAGAAGTAAAAGGCTTCTCAAGGAGAGAGGGAAGCTTCAGCTTTTACAGGGCCACAAACTCTGCGAAGTCTGACATGTTTCTCAAAGTGTGCAGTTTTGTGTCTGTCACATTTCCGACAGTTACACAACTTTTCTCTCCCACTGCTGCTCTTTAAGGGGACATCCCAGATGGAGTTCTTCCCCCCTGGCACTTGGCCCTTGCCCCCCCTGCCCACCTCAGACTTCAGCAGCATTAGGAGTAGAGGGGAGGCTGGCCATTCAGTGAGGCTTGGGTGCTGCTAAGAGTGTCTGGAGTGGCTGGAGGTATCAGGGTATCAGGGCAGGGCCGGCCAGACCCCTCCATGTCACCCCTTCCTTTGTCTTCTGGGCTCCTATAGTGGCCACCGCCCTTGTCCCCCTCCCATCTGGGCTCCCACAGGCATGGCTTTGTCTGATTCCTCTCTGTCTTCAGTGCCCAGCATGAGATCTGGCACAAAAAGGATGGACAGAAGGAAGCAACAAGTAAGAGGCACTGGGCAGCTCTCCTGCTTCCCACATCCCACCCTCTCCACTTCCCTGAGTTCTCCTCTAAGGGCAGAGTCCCTCTAGAGCCTCCCAGTGAAGGACATGGGGAGCAACAGATCCATTTCACACACACATCCGCCTACCTAACCCCAACCATTGGTGGGCTTCTCCCATTCTCAGACTATCAAGATCTTCCTGCCACCAGTGCTTTGCATAGAGCGGATACTGCTGATCCTTCTGTTCTTCAAAATCCTACTCATCTTTCAAAACTCCGCTCCCATGGGACCTCCTCCACGTAGAAGTCTCTCTAGGCTGGGTCAGGGGCCTTTACTCTAACCTCTGTTTCCCGGGACTTCCTTTCTCTAGATCATGATTAAATATGATTCTCCCTGGGTCATTAGCTTCTCTAGAACTGGCAAAGTTGTATTCAGTAGAGGCTGAATGGGTGGCTGGATTTGCAGAGGAGGCAAGGCTGGGGGCCCGAGGGACCTGTTGATAGTCCCATCAGGCCAAAGGCCACTGATGGGCTGCAAGAAGGGTGGCAGTCCAGAAGTGACGTTTAATGGGAATTGGTGAATGGCACTAAGGTTAAATATCAACTGGCATATACTAGGCACTCAATTAGTTGATTTTTGACAACTACTGATCTGGTACTTAGCTTAGCAGCAGCCCTCATATAAAACCCTCAAAGATTTTTGCTGACAACGGACCCACAGCTAACAGCATATTTTATTTGCCAGGACCTACTGCAGTCTTAGGCTACATTACGAGGGCATGTCTTTGGAACTGGAGAGGTGACCTGTTAGAGACACAGGTCTCTAACCTGTCTTAGAGATACCGTTACGATTTTGTCCCGGAGAACCGGGAGAGCGCCCTCTGAAGGTCATCCACAGATGGGAACACTTCAGGGGAATTTGACCCCTTCCCACAGGGAATGACTGGGAATTTACTGAGAACAGATAGATACTCCTGCACCACCTCCAACTCTGGGAGGAGCTGTGCCAGGTGAGGTGCACTCGTGGCCCCAAGGCATAGCTGAGGCTGTCAGGGAGTTCCAGGCTGACTCCTCTGGCAATGAAAGGGATGCTTCCAGGAGGGGAGGGAGTGAGCCCCTCATCGAGAGAGGGTGCCCCTTGTTGAGAGGGCCTAGGAGGCTTCCCACCTTATCTCCGAGGTCCTTTTCAGTGTCTAAATGGCCCAAATTCTAGCATTATGTGGCCCTAAGATTCCCAAATGCCAGACATCTAGCCTTCCACATGTGGTTCGAGGGCTCTGCGAACCTGAATGTGAAATAATCCAGTCTGGGGACCTTGAGGCAGGAGATAAGCCTCTTACCATGGCCCCGCTGGCCCAGAACCCCTGTCTCCTCAATCCACATATCTCAAAGGGTCATTTTATCCATACCCACCCCCCTCCACTTCTAGGCTGCTGCTTCTCTCAGCCTCTCACGTACCCAAGGTGCAGTTCGTAGTCCTCTCCCCAGGACAGTATAGCATGACACAGGTTATTAAGGGAGTGTCAGGTAATTCATCAGGGGGAATGATACCAAATCGGCAAATAACGATCCCTCCTTTCCTGCCTGAATTAACTGCCTCTGATTCTCTGTTGCTGGATTTCCTCCCTGATGGCCTCATCTGATGCTAATGTTTCCAGTCCAACGGCACCTCCCCCACAGCCCCCACCCCCACCACAGTGATGAGGAATGACAGGGTAAAAGGATGTAGAGAAGTGTAGGATTCCACCCTGGCTATGGATAGCCTCCTCTCAGAGGATAAAAGGCAGGCTAGTTTGGAGAGCGATGCAAACCCAGTGGGAAGTCCCTCCATGTGTCTCACCTCAATCCTGCTACACGCAGTCAGAGCCTATTTCTTCTCCCATACGTTAGAAGACACCAAAGGTCACTGCCTCACCTCAGGGAGGTCGAAAAATACCCTCCCAAGTGGTCCCTCCCACCTCCTTCAATGTCCAAGGTCAGCAGGAATGACATGGCACCACTTCCAAGAATAGAGTATCCGAGATTATTGCAGACTTTATAGAAAACTGCCCAAGGGAGATCCAGATGTCTTGGGTGGGGGTGCGAAGGCAGGCCTCAAGCCACTATGTTTGGGGGGGGACTTCCTGTGTGCAGAGGCCACACAGGCCAGCCATTCTGCCTGACCTAGGGGATGGGAGTCAGGGAGAGGAAGCCCCCTCCCCACTCACCAATTGTGCTTTGGGATCATGCAGAAGGCAGGGCACTGACACTCTGACCTTAAACAGGATAACTTGTGCCTGAGACAAGAGATGAGGCCCCTCACCTCTTCTAAAAGGCATGGGGGAGGGAGGCATGGCAGCAAGGGATCCCCAAGGGAGAAGAGTCACATGGGTAGGAAAGAGCTTGTGGGCAGCAGCTCCCAGCCCTTCAGAGCCTCCTTCCCTACCCCTCTCTGAGGCCACGATGTATGTATGGGTGACCCCGGTTCTGAGGCCCAACCAACTACTTTGAACCCCTAGGATTCTCTCCTTCTCCATGGGGATCTGCCAGTATGGTTGGGGTATGCTGACACCTGCACCCATCTTGCAGGCCTGGAGAGCTCATCCTAGGAGGAAAGGGGGGGTGGGCATACCCCAGGAATGGATTCCTCACTGGACCCTGACAGAGTGAGTGCAGGCGATGGGTGTAGGGGGGATAGAGAGCCTAAGACTTGGGCAGGGGGATTAAATTCTGATCAGGGTGAAGAGCTGAGCATCTTGAGATTAGGGACAAGCACTGAGTATTGCAGCATCAGAGCCCCAGTGAGAAAGGCTGAGGATCGGTTCCATACTAAGGCTGTAACAGGGTGTGACTGTCCTTGGGATGGGAGACAGATGGAGCTGAGCCCCAAGCCTGGGCCAAGGAAGGGAAGAGCCTGAGCCAGAGCTGAGGTGGGGGGCAGTATGAAATACATCCCCAGACTGGAGGAGGGTGCCCGACCCCTCAGAGCCCTGGAATGTGGGTGTCTGCAGGATGGGAGGGCTCCGGGGTGAGAAAAAAGCTCAAAGTCCACAAAAGCCTTCAGAGCAGTGCTCTGCTTCTGAGACCAGAACGGGATGAAAGGGTCCCTGAGCCCTGGGAAGGGAGTTGAGGTCTCCAAGCTGGAGATGGGAGTCAGTGATGTCTAGGGTGACGTTTCCCACTGAGAGGTCAGGCCTCAAAGCATAGGGGTGATGGAGGCAGTCTTAGGGCTCTCGGATTGAAGGACAAAGTTTCCTGGCCAAGTCTTAAATGGGGGAGGGTGCTTTTGAGGGTTCAGGAGGAATGTGTCAGAGCCTGAGATGGGCAGGTAGGGTTTCTGGAATCAGAAGAGCGTGTCTCTTGATCTTTGACAGTGAGAGCTCTCAGAGGTTGGGGAGAGGGGGTACAGCTTGGGGCCTCCGGGTGAGGGGGGGGGGAATGCCATAATCCAAAGGTCTCAGGCCGGTCAGGGGCAAGACTCGAAGCCCCCAACTCACGGGTGTCTCATACCCATGGCTTCGGGCCAGGCAATCCCAGTAAAGTCATCAGCTGGCAGGGACAGCCGTCAACCCCCAGGGGGCAACACTCAGAAGCCCGAGCCCGGGGAAGTGGCGCGGGAGCCGGCGGGGGCGGCCGGGGCGGGCGCGCGGCGCGGGTCGGCGTCCTGCTCATAACGGTAGTGGTAGCCCTCCATCTGGTCCCGGCAGGCCTCGCGCAAGTTGCGCATCCAGCGCTGGATGCCGCGGCGGTTTAGGTAGAGCACCATGAGGAAGATGAGGCCGATGAGCGCCAGCACCAGCCCGAAGAAGACGTAGGAGGCTTCCAGCTCCGGGCCGGCGAGTTCCACTTCTTCCCCGCGACCGTCGGCGTCGCCGTCGGCACAGCCCAGCCGCGCCTTGTCCAGGTCCAGGAAAGGCCGGTCATGCAGCGCCCGCGGGGCGGCGCAGCGCAGGCGCCGCGCGTCAGGTACGCGCTCCGTGGCGTTGCGCAGCCAGGCCAGCAGGGGGCGCGCGGCACAGCCGCAGCGCAGGGGGTTGTCGGCGAGCAGCAAGCGCGGCGCGGGGAGGCCGCCATTGCGCTCCAGCGCGCGCAGCTCCTCGAGACCCAGGCCCCATAGCGCGTTGAGGCGCGCGTCCAGCTGCTCCAGGCGCGGCAGGCGCAGCGCGGCGGGCGGCAGGCGGCTCAGCGCGTTGCCCGCCAGGCCCAGGAGGCGCAGCTCGTCCAGCTGGGCGAGCGCGGCGTCCAGCGCGGCCAGCAGCGTGGGGCCGCCTCGCGCCAGCGCGTGGTTGAGCTGCAGCGAGCGCAGCGCGGGCAGCCCGCGGAAGGCGCCGCCGCCCAGGGCGCGCAGCGGGTTGTGGCTCAGGTCGAGCGCCGTCAGGCTGGGCAGCCCGTCGAAGGCGCCGTCCTCCACCACCTCGATGTTGTTGTGCGTGAGGCGCAGCGCGCTCAGGAGCGGCAGGCGCACGCCGCCCGCCGCCGCCGCCTCCTCCCCGTCAGCGTCCCCGCCGGCGAAGGCGGCGGCGCGCAGCACCGTCAGGTTGGCGCCCACGATGGTGAGGTTGCGCGCGTCTGGCGGCACGTCCCGCGGCGGCTGCCGGAGCTCCGCGCCCGACGCGCAGCGCAACAGCAGCTTGGGGCCGCCGAAGCAGTAGCACTGGAAGGGACAGGGTGCGGCGGGCCGGCTCAGCGCCGCCGCCACCAGCAGCAGCCCCGGCAGGAGCGGCCCCCTTTGCTCCGGCTGTCCCGCGCGCGGGGCCATTGCAGCTGCCCCGCATCCAGCGCCCGGGCCGCCGCGCTCACCAGTGAGTTCGGAGCGCCTCGGGGGCGGGGAGGGGGGCGGGTGGGGCAAGTCCTTGACCCGCAGCGGCTGGCGGTCGCTGTCGGTCCGTCCGCTGGCTCTAAAGTCCGAGGAGCCTTCAGTTTCCTGGCTGGGGCGAGAGGGGTCAGGCGGGGAGCAGAGCCCCCCGCCCCCGGTGCCCTCCTCGCCCTGCGCGCCGGCCTCCGACTTCCGCGGCCGTTCCGGGCTCCGAGCCGAGTGGGCAGGGTTTGTTCCCCCCCCCTCCCAGCCTCCCGGCCTCCTCCTCCTCCCCCAACGACGGAGTCTCCGCGCCCTCCTCGCCGAGAGGCGGGGTGGGAGGCTCCCGAGAATCAGGGCTTTCGGCCGCTGCGCTTTCTCCTCCCCCCTCTCCGGCTCCGGGGCTGCTGAGAAGTTTGGCTCTCTCAGGCTCTGACTTGCTTCCCCCTCATCTCCCCCCCATTCCCCCCCCCCACGTTTCAGCTGGTTCCTTCCTCCTCCCTCTATGGCACGTGTGGGGCGGGGCTGGGAGGGGGAGAGCTGGCAGGTGGGTCAGCACCACAGAGCAAGAATTGGGAGGGGAGGACCTTAGGGTTCCCCCTGCGAGCACAGGCAAGGATGAGGGGTGGGCTGAGAAAGTTATTCAGCTTTCAGCCTCTTCCTGATCCGTGTGACCAAGGAGAGGGCTGTGCTTGGAGACTGGAAAATCCCCAGCCCTGGTTCCCCCCTCAGCAACCCCAGTTACATTAGGCCTGGCCAGGTCCTGTGGGACCAGCGTTTTCTCCACCCCATCCTACCCCCACCCAGGGAAGGCAGCACCAACCCCCTCCTCCTTTCCTCCCCCCTTCTCCCCTCCAACTCACTGGCTGCTCTGCTGGGAGTTCCATCTGATTTCCTCCACCAGGCTGGACTCCTCCCCCAAGCACTCTCCTAGGCCCTAGGACCTGGTGGGTGTGGTGATTCAGCTCTTTGCTGTCCCCTCCCTGCTCCAGCACCTGGGCACCCTGTTAGATTGTTCTACTGGGTCTCAGGCCCCTGGCGTTGTTGGACACCATCGACTGCCCCTCCTCCCCTCCAGGGTATCCTACCTGTAAATGTTGAAAGGGTGGGAGGGTTTGGAGCTCTAGAGATTTGGAGAAGGGGAGCAGATTTTGCAGCATTGAGTGGTAGTGGGGGGGTGGTCTCAGAGGGGGCCAGGGCCTGAGCTGTTTATAGGTTTGTTTTGTTCTGGATTTTTTTTTTTTTTCCAGAACTGGGAAGCTCCAGACCTGATTTAAAGAGATATGCTCCTGAGAAGGGAGCACTCCTGGCCTTGGCATGAATTATTCAGGCTGGAGAGGCTGACACTTGATCCACAGGCCATTCTGGTCTCAGCAGAGTTGGTTGGGATAGAGGCTCCACCCTCCCCCCCCCATAAGAATCAGTCAGTCTTTCTCCTGAATTAGGGACAGTTGTTGGGTTGACTTCTTCCCTGAGGTTATATTTAACAGATTGACCAACAGATCAATACCACTTAAGGAGAAGAGGTAGACCCTGCGGTGGCCTGGGTCCCAGGCAAAGACCAACAACCTCACAGGCCAGATCTGTTGGTGCTGGGGTGGGAGGGCGGGGGCTCCTCTCCCCCTCCCCCTTCCTTCCCTCTCCCCCTTCCTTCCCTCTCCCCTGCCTTCTCTCTCCCCATCCCTGTCATCACTCCCGGGTATTGGCAGATGAGAACTATAACTTGCACCTGCAGGACTGGACGTATCTACACAGGTGTACATGTAGGTTATACATGCATATGTGCATGTACGTGTAGAGGCACGTGTGACACATGAACAGTTCAAGGTGCATCCACATGTGAGGAAACAGACTCATGCTTCCTTGGATGTGCATCCACGTGCATAGGATGGTGTGTACAGGTCTGCACAGGGTTGTGGGCAGGCTCAGATATGCCTCACACAAGTACCTGCAGGTCGTTCATATATGTGCACATGTTAACACAGATTCGAGTCCATCTGGTGTGTGTCCATCCATTCATAAGCACATAAATACTTGAACATTCATATTTCTGGGACCATGTATGTTCCTGGGTACATTCTCGAGGGGCAAGCTTACAGATGCATGCATGCAAGCACGTGCATCCAGAGATTGGACAACATACTCTGAGCCCATTCCTGACCTCCACCATGCCTTGGTTTGTACAAGTAACAGGCTGAGATACCGTTTCTCATATGGGCACAGGTGCTCAGACAGCCGCTGGGGCTGTGCCTCAGCTGTTGTGCTTCCCTGAGCCCTGGCCCACAGCAGCTCCAAGCCCCAGCTCTGACATCTCCCTGGTGAGAGGTGCTGCCTCTTCTTCCTATTGTGTTTCTGGTATAGGGACTAGCACGAGAGAGTGTGCGGTAAGTGTAGATGGGTGGGTGGATGGATGGATGAATGAATGGAAAGGTTTCTGCTTTCCTGTCCCACTGCATAGAGCCCCTTCTGCCTCCAGCCACTGGGGAATCACAGACCAACCGCCAAAGCCAGAGCCCCATTTCCAGGGCCCCTTGGTGGCTGGTTCCTGGTGGGCTGATGGCCTCCTTGGGAAAAGGCTGCAGGGCAGCAGGCAGCCTCGATTGGGGGATACTAGACGGGATCGGGCGCATTCAGGCTGGTATGGCCATACAGACGGGGGGGTACTAGACATCTCGGAGAAAGGAGGCCGAGAGAGAACCTAGAACCATCAGGTACCAGAGAATAAGGCAGTGACTATGTTTTCTAAGTGGGGAGTCTGAGGCCAGAGGGCCAGGGACTTGCCTCAAAGCCAGTGACTGTCAGGGCTTAGTGTAGCCCCAGGCTCCTTGCCCAAGGCGTTGTCCATGGTAGTGGCCGCATCTGAGAAGGGCCAGTGCAGCAGGGAATCTCATCCTGACCCGAGGAAGCTGAAGCCAGCAACAGATGCCAGGGTGGATGTGGTGTGACCTTGAACCACTCTCCACCTCTGGGCTGTCTGTCGACCTCTACTTCTGGAAAGTAGATGGGCTCCTGAAGTCCTATCCTTCCTAGGCTTCTCAGGGCTGTTGTGACAAAGTGAATGGAAAGTGCTTTGAAACAAGAAAAGCCATTATCACCTAGGGTCTGGGGACCTTCACCATGTGACTGGATGAGGCATTGCCCTTTTCTGGGACTAATTAGCTCCCATGTCATTTTGCCCTGTTCCATCTTCCTCCCTCCCCCAGCGTAGCAAGTTCATGGTAGGTGGTACGAGGAATGAGTCTACTTGCTGTCCCTGTGAATGCCTCCACCCAGCCTCCTCCCTCCTCTCCCCTCTTTACGCAGCTGTTCCCCTTCTCTGTTCAGGTTCCCCTGGAACAAAGTCTGTCAGCCATTTAGGGGTCTCTGTTGTCTGGAGGAACTTCCCTCTCCATTTGTCAGTATTCCGTATGCAGTAGGTGTTCAATAAATGTATGTCCAGTTGTGTCTGGGGCTGTGTTCATTCTCTGATGCATCCAGTGGAAGTGTCTTTGCTCAGATTGTTTGCCTCACTTGGGGTGCTCTCTCCCCTTGACTGTTTCTTCGGCCCAGCCCACTGATCCTCAGGGCTCGGCTTGAGTTCTGTCCCTTCCAGGAAGCCTTCATGGCTCCTTCTTCCTCCTTTGAATTTCACTTAGCAACCAGAGGGCTGGAGCTCCTCTGAGCCCCCTAACTGTCAGCACCTGGGGCTCAGGACTGATCTGGTCTCCTGTGTTGTCAGCTCAGAGCTCAGTGTGGAGAAGGCACCAGGGAACATTTATTGGATGAAATAATGATTTAAAAATCTCTGGCTTGCTCCTCTCATCTCTCTGAGGCAGGCTAGGTGAGGAGCCCCCATCTGTACTTTATACCAGGAGACAGCCTCCCAGAAAAGTGAAGTACTTTCCTCAAGGTTGCACAGCTGACTGAGACCCAGTCCTGACAGTAGCTCAGGTTTCCTGCTCATCTATTATGCTGCAGCCCTCCCCATTCTAGGCTCTCTCTCTGGAGAGTGTGACTGGGTCAGGTCCCAGGGGACCCTGTGGGCAAAGAGCTCAGGCCCTCAGGGTTGCCTTAGGACTCAGCAAGTGAGTCACCCCGGCCCACTCAAGCAGAGTGATTGTCCTTTGCTGGGTTGAGAATCCCCCCTATGTCAATTACACTAGACCCCCCCCTTTTTTTTTAGAGAGCACACACAAGTGGTGGGGGTGCAGAGAGAGAATCCTAAGCAGGCTCCATGCTCAGTGTGGACGCAGGGCTCTATCTCACTTAACTGACTGAACCACCCAAGTGCCCCTGAACCCCAATTCTTGAATTTATTACTCCCCCTAGGTTCCAGAGCCCCTCTCTGAGCCTTCCAAAGTACTGTCCCTCCCCTAACTCCAGCTCCTTCACTGGGCTCCTTTTCTCTCCACAAAGGCCCTGCTCTCTGTAAGGTCCACTGAGCCTTGGTAGGGAGCCTACAGAGGTTTGGCAACTTCCCTGAGGTCATCCACCAGAGAGCCCTTTCCCTATCTGCCTCCAGCTCCATCTTGTTCATCAGAGGTGCCTCAGTGTTCCTAAAGTCCTTAGGCAAGCCTGCGTTTCCAGATCTGTTTCCTGTCTGCAAAGAAGGTGTGTGTGTAGACAGAATGATCTTGGAGGGCTTTTAGTCTTGTGCCCCTTGGCCTTTTAAGGGTAGGGATCGGGGAGGGGAAGGTAATACTGTGATTTGCCCAAATTGGTGCCCCCACCTCAATGTATGACCTTGAACTTGGCCCCACCCTGACTATAAAGTGGTGGTAGCATAGTCTGGTGGGGGAGGAGGGTCCTTCTAAGTCTGTAGCAGCCTATGATATCCAGGGTCCCTTTATCTTGGCAGACTCCCTTTCCCTCTGCCCCCCTTCCTCTGAGGCAAGTGGAGGAGCAGCTGGACAGGGCTGACATGATGAAGCTCAGTCATTAGGTAGTGGGGGAGCCCCAGGTTCTCTTCTCTAGTGTAACTTCTG